TTGTATTTCAAAGGGATCTCTTTCTAAAAATATGCTATAGGACAAGTTCAGGACATCCAGCCCGGTATTTTCTTATGAATTTTCATCATGCAATAACAGATATAAAATACGTGTTTATTTATTTCATAAAATTTATATACCACTTGATTGTAAAGCAAAACTTCAAAGCAGTTTGTTGAAAAAGATATTATGGTTTGGCATCTAAAAAGATCAAATATAAGACCATTAATGTGGCTATAACTATTTGTTTCAAGTTATTTATGAGTGTGGTTTTAATCACACAACAGAAGGACATCCACAGACTATGCCACCTTCTGGTTTTAAAAATTAAAAGAGAATTCTGCTGGGCTTGCAGTAAATTACCGGTAGATATTAGGAACCAGATAGTGTAGGATTTGGAAATTCCCCTCTTACAGATGGGCACCATATTACAGTATTTTTCCATCTTGGTGACAAAACAGTTTGGCAGCTAGTTGCCATTGGAGATAATGTAGGAGTTACTTAAGTCCCTTATAGAACAATCACTTATTTTGGGTAGCAGCACTTGAATTATTTTTGATTATTTTCATGTATTGCATAACCAATCCAAATTGCGCCCAACATGTTCCCAAAGCCCATACTGTGTTTACAGATAAAATGCCATGGAATATATGCCCATTCGGGTTGACATTTCCTTTTTCACTGCACTTTTCCTCATTGTGAAATTGGCCAGTTCAGATCAAGTGGTGTTTGCATTAAATTTATTTGCTGATGTGTGTATAAACGTGTCTATTTGGGCAGATGCAAAGAAAGAACTTTGTGACAATGTTTGTGTTGACTTCTGTTTAAAAAATGGCAAATAGATGCAACAGTGGGACATATTGAACCTAAGTTTGGAAAACTTGATAGATGAGGGCCTGAGAAAAATTATGGTCATCTTATTCTTAGGTGAAGTGTATCCTTTCAGAGCTATTGCTCAAGGGATCGTAGGGAGAAGAGTACAGTTGGACCAAGATGTAGTATCAGCCAACATTTAAGCCACAAATAGCCAATGTGGTACCCTCCAGATGTTAGATTAGATATTTATACCCCCTTTTATATTAAAATAACACTCAAAATGACTTGTTGGACTGCAACGGAAATTTGGCCCAGTGAGCCATGGAAGTTGTAGTCTAATGGAAGGCACCGTGTTGAGTATCTCTGATTTAATCCATGATTATGCCACTGTTTCTCTGCCTCAGTAAAGAACTGCATTTGGAAATCGGGATTGATCCCACCTGGAAAGTCTTAAAGCAAACATCATGTTGAACATTTGTTATCCAAACACATTCTGTGCCGACAGTGAAAGCTAATGGCTCCATCCTCCCTAGATCAGCACTTGTCTGGCAGCCAGGAAACCTAGCTGCTTGCCAAGTGACTATTTCAAGTTGTTGCTTTGGGACATTTCATGGAAGAGCCTTTCTTTTTAGCAAACGTGTTTTAAACAGCGGAAAAATCTCCGTTTGCCAAAACAGATGGAGCAGCGAGGATTCGTGTCTAATCAAATGTAGGTTTTCCCTGAACTCTTTGAAACGTCACATTGACAATGCAGAAAGGATTGTAGGTTTTGGATTGTGGCCTGTTTTGGATTTACCTCTTCCCAAAGGATAACCCACGCCGTGGTTTCGTTGTTCTTTATATGAGAGAACAAATTTAGCAATAGGAAAGGGCAGCTATATTTGCGCGACTGTATTTCACCCAAACCCAGTGATTTTGGTGTGCCGTCTAAGTTGTAAAAACAAGTAGGGTATAATTTCCTAAGGAGCTGAAGGAGAAGGAATGTAAATGGTAGGAAGTATGTGTAGTTTGTGAAGCCGCTAAATGCTATGTGACTTCTGGGGTTGTTTCCTTTATTGCCGACCGACAATATTGCTTGCTATTTGTAGCCCACATATTGTTGGTTTGATTTCGTTTCTTTAAAAGTGCTCTATGGCTTTAGAAGCACCTTGCAGGTGCACAGTCTTCCTCTGCAGTGCTGTAGCTTAGGTTGACACACTGGGCAGCTGACTGGTCAAATATTGTCACATGACTGCTTAATATTTAACTATGGCCAAATATCATTCTAAATGTTCCAAGGATGCCACTGTGAAGATGGCAGCTTGCATTTATCTTGATTTCATTATTATTACATTCCTATCCCACCTTCCTTTCAAGAGAGTACAGGGTGGCTACTGTGTTTTTCACTCCATAAGACACACTTTTTCCCTCCTAAAAAGTAAGCGGAAATGTTTGTGCGTCTTATGGCGCGAATGCAGGCGGGAGGCTCTGCTCAGAGCTCCCTTTAAAGAGCCGCGTGGAGCGTATGTGCGGTTCTTGGGAGCTTTTCCCTGAGGAGAGAGAAGGGCAGCCCATCAGTCCCTTCTCCCTCCTTGGGAAAAGCCCCCAAGAGCCGCACGCACGCTCCACTCGGCTCGTGAAAGGGAGCGCTGAGCAGAGCCTGGGATGCATACAGGCACTTCTCAGCGCTCCCTGTAAAGAATTTTTCTTTTCTTGCATTCCCCCTCTAAAAACTAGGTGCATCTTATGGAGCGAAAAATACGGTAAATGGTTCTTCCCCCATCCCCTGTTAATCCTCACAACACCCCTGTGAGGCAGGTTTGGCTGAAAACTTTTGACCGGCCCAAGGTCACCTAGTGAACTTCATGGCTGAGTAAGGATTTGGATCTTGGTACCCCAGATTCTAGTCCAGCGCCTTAACCATTACGCCATACTGGATCACATTACGGTTCCTGTCTTCTTCCAAACAGGGAAGTTTTGTTTTCTTTGCCTGTTCGTTCTTTCAGTATAAATTGTGTAATTCTAGAATCGGTGCTTCTGAACAGTCTTTTGTAGCTGTAATGTTCACCTGGCCCTTTTATTACTTCACTATTGTTTCTTGCATGCCACTTTATTCCTTGCTACACTGGTTCTTCTGAATTAATAGTCAAGTCAAAGGAAAATGAATGCTAACGGTGCATGCCCTAGCTATCTAGCTTTAGATCACAGAGCTTCAGTTTCTTACAAGGTGTTTCATATTCTGGAAAAGAGCTCATTTTGTTGCTTACTTTACAACTTGTAGAAGTACGACTCACAAATCGGTTTCTCCTTAATATACAGAGCTTTTCACATTTGACAGGAATTTCTGAAGCATTTCAAGTGTGTGAGCTGGAAACTTCAATGTATTAATCTCGGAATCAAAGAATTGTAGGGCTGTAAGGGACCCAAAGGGAAATCTACTCCATCCCCTTGCAATATCCCAGACTAGGGCAGAGGGTAGCCAATATGGTTGGACTAGCATTCCCATCAGCCCCAGCCACTATGGCCAGTGGTCAAGGATGATGGGAATTGTAGTCCAACAACATCTGAAGGGCACCATGGTGGCTGACTGGGTTTCAGAATTTTTAAACAATGCGGTGCAAAGAATTTGGCATGCCTCATTGGTTTACATAATGGTTTACAGTCAAGGCTCAGGATTTCCAAAGAAAGTTGCTGTCTTTTGCAATCAAGCGGTATATAAATTTGGTTAAATGAAACAAATCTTTAAGCACACCACAGCTGATATTAATGTAGTGATGGGTCTGTAAAATGAATTGGTTATTTGGTGCAGCTGTAGCACAAATATGAATATGATGGAAGGCAAGTTGTGTGTTCATACCATAAATTGGTAGAGATTTACCCCCTTTCATATAGAACACAGTGATATGGATGGTTTTGGGGTTTTAATCATATGCGGTTGCTATGGTGACATTCTTGAAGAATGGCACATGTGTGGGAGGCCGAAAAAATCTGGACAGCAAGTACTTGTTCTCAGAGTGAATTTTGGATCGTAACTGTTGTAAATAACAACACAGTGTATTTTAGCAAGGATGGAGTTGTGTAATGCATTCTTAAAGATCAGGAACGTCAATTCTTAATTAACCTATTAGCACCTAATGGTATCCATGGAATGGCACTAGCTTCTAGAACAGGATCAGATTGGCTCTTCAGAAACTTCTTCAAAATGGCAGCTTTTTGTGTATTTATAAGTAAGATATGCAGAACTGAGTTACTGTGGTTGCAAATCAGAAGTACATAGGCAAAACCTCTACAGCCGGGGTATCAAACCTGTGGCCCTCCAGATGGTGTTAGACTCCAGCTCCCATCAGCCCAATGGTCCACTTCTGGGGAGGCCACAACTTAGAAAAACACCTGCTCCACAGGCACACTGGAGTTGGATCTGGGATTTTTTCCCCTTCATGGCACGAGGTCAAAGTGCTGTTGAAACTCTTTCCTCCCATCAGTTCTGCTTTTATAAAGCAGATGGGGAGAAGGTGGCACAAAAACTTTACAAATAAAAAATAGGGTGTGGAATTTCTCTATGGCCTCCAAGCTGTTCAACATCCCTCCTTTTTTTTCCTTGTTTTACTTCCACCACAGAGACAGACAGACAGAGAAGGAGGGAGGGAGGGATTACTGTATTAAAATGCAGTTTTGGAATTGAATGGGAAAGCTTTCAGGAGGGGAAGCTGTCACCACCCCAGAAAACCCCCTAAGCTTCCATCATTTTTGTAGGATTTGGATTCCAACCTACATTTTGTTAACATCTTTATAGCAGTGGTGGGTAGCCAAGGTGTGAAGGGCTGGAGCCGGCAGAAGGCTAAGAGCCAACATTAGACCACCCCCTTTTCTCTCTCTCTCTCTCTCTGCCAAGCCTTGCCGGCCACTTTCCCCTTTTGTCTTTCTCCCCTTCTCATTGCCATCCCAACAAAACCCTCCGCTCCCTTTTGGAATTAGACTTGCAGGGGGAGTTCCTGTTGGTGTCAATGGGAGCAAGGGTACCTTGAGAAGGTGCTCAAGTGAAGATCGTATGGAGTTTAAAGGTTAATCCCAGCATTTGGAATGGGTACTCCCATTCCTTCAATACCTCATATATACCTTCTTCTTTTTTTGCACCTGTTTCGTGCAACTGTGGAATGCGAAGCTTTCCCAAAGGTCAACTGCTACGTCGTTGTTGTTCTTTGCAGATGTGACTCTGAAGGTCCACGTAAGTGATGCCAGCACACATCAGCCAGTCACCGAAGCCTTTATTGAGATTTTTACCAACCAGATCCCCATTGCCTCTGGAACCTCAGGAGCAGATGGCACTGCCTTCATCAAGTTTCAGTATAAGCTGGGCAGTCAGCTGATCGTTACTGCGACTAAACATGCTTACGTGCCAAACTCTGCACCATGGAAACCAATAAGATTGCCTGGTAAGAGATCTTTATTTTTGTTCTGAGGTAAGATTTTATTTCTAAGGGGGGGGGGTACAAAACTGTGGTGTTTTTTTAAGAAAAAAACAAAACAAAACAAAAACCTGAATGCTGAAAATCGTATTTATCATTTATTTATTAATTCATCATTTATATCCCATCCTTTCTTTCAAAGGAGCCCATGGTGACAAACACATCAATAATATATATATATATTCAAGCATTCTAAAAGCACTTAAAATCAGTTATCTCAGGGCTGTCAGGAAAAGGGGGGCCTTTCAGCCATCAAATAAATGCCTACGCAATGCCTGTTTTTAAACTGAAAGTCAGTGAGACAGGTGCACCTCTCTCAAATGGCAAACTGCCACTGAAAATGCCCTGTCTTGGGTCAGTGCAAATCCAGCAGCCCCTGGTAGCAGCAGCACCAACGAGGCCTCACCTGCCAGTTTTAGGGCCCAGGGTAGTTGATATGAATATAATAATAACCTGATGGTTTTCACAAGAGAAGAATATGGATGCCCAGTAAGAACAGTGCCTCTCCCCATACTCCCCTGGTTAGGCCTTTAGTTTGACCGTGCTTTCCTTAGCTTGGCTTCAGCGCCAGTGTTTTGCCTTGGATCATAATGAAGCTGAACATGTGAAGCCAGAATGAGGAATCTCTGATTCTCCAGAGGTTGTTGGACTCCAACTCCCATCAGCCCCAGTCATCATGGACAACGATCAAGAGTGATGGGAGCTGTAGTCCAGCAATATCTGGAGGGCCCCGTCTTGCCTACCCCGGCCCTAGCAAATGGATGGGGCCAGACTATGGTAACTGGCAGTGGGGCAGAGAATTATTTCTGACCAAAGGGGAGAATCACTTCAGCTGATCTTTCTTTGGCCTCTGGATGAGGATGTTCTCGCCCCGTTTTTCTCATCAATATTTCCTCCATTTTGGAGTTAAATATCTCTGATATTGGCTGACCTGGCATGCTTGAAAAGAGCAGCCATGCATTAAATAGAGCAGAGGTTCTCAAACTGATAGGTAGCTGTGAGAACAAAGGAAGCTGTTTTATAATGAGTCAGACCATTGGTCCAACTCACTCAGTGCAGTCTACACTGACTGGCAGTACCTCTCCTGGGTTTGGGGCAGGAGGCTTTTCCAGCCCTACCTAGAGATGCCAATGATTGTATCTGGGACTCTCTGCATGCAAGGCTTCTGGGATATGCCTTTCCTACAGGTGAGACATAGGGTGCATGTTGCACCCTTTTCTAGTCAGTGAGTGAACAAGTGCCCTGCTGCTTGCATCAGAAGATGCTGGGGTCTCAGTGCAGCCACTGTTGCTGTATTTGAAAAACGATGAACTAAAGAATATTGTTTTTCTTTTTTCACGTCTAATCAAAATTTTGGCAGGGGGAGTGGGAGGGACTCGAGGGTGCCATTAGTGTGCAGGGTAGATTATTCCTTTTATTTCAGCCCATATCACTTGTATATAGGGGTCCTTACAGTGCAATTTTTTTGCTTTTAATATTGATTTTGTTTTAATTTTTTAAGGAAAGAACCAGTTTCGCAGAGCTTTTGACAAGTCATTGAAATCTGAACTAGGCTTTTTGTGCGTTTTCAAGAGAAACCACTTGAAATGAGTGTGTGCTTCTGAAAGGAACGCTTGTTTGGGCATCCTCTGCCGAGTTCATTAGGCACTTTGCCACAAATTGCAGTGAGAAGGAGCTATTATTTTGTCCCCTTATTTGCACTTAGTTCCTCTGATAAATGACCAAATGAGATGAAAAAGGGGGGGGGAGAAAAATGTGTGGTGCAAAACCATTCTTCTTTATGACTAATAATAAATTAATGCAGCTTAATGCAAACCACAAGTTTTAAAGTGTGCAAACATTATTATTTTCAAACTGGCTTTTACTTCAGTTCGGATACTGCCAACTGGGACACGGCTTTGAATGGAGGTAAAACAAGACTTTCATAAGTTCAGCTGTGAGCCTTGGTGGGAGAAACCCTGGTGATTAAAGTTCCTCCACTGGGAACCCTGAAAACATTTCAGGGATGGTAGAAGAGCTTGAGGAAACCTGGTGACAAAGAGGAAAACTAGGGAGACTTCCCTAGGGAGGCCTCCCTAACTTTGTGGCCTGGGTTTGGCCCTTAGTGTGAGGATGAACCAGTGATCCTAGAGCAGCACTCTGTAACCTGACTACATCTGCCGTCAACCCTGGCCATTACCCGTGACAGATGAGGCTAATGGGAGTTGGAGTCCTTCAACTTCTGAAGGGCACCAGGTTGAGGAAGGTTGTCCCAGACTGTCCAACAACTAATCCATATAATAACCAGGACAGTTGTTGTTGCTGTTTAGTCGTTTAGTCGTGTCCGACTCTTCGTGACCCCATGGACCAGAGCACGCCAGGCACTCCTGTCTTCCACTGCCTCCCGCAGTTTGGTCAGACTCTTGTTTGTAGCTTCGAGAACACTGTCCAACCATCTCGTTCTCTGTCGTCCCCTTCTCCTTGTGCCCTCCATCTTTCCCAACATCAGGGTCTTTTCCAGGGAGTCTTCTCTTCTCATGAGGTGACCAAAGTATTGGAGCCTCAGCTTCACGATCTGTCCATCCAGTGAGCACTCGGGGCTGATTTCCTTCAGAATGGAGAGGTCTGATCTTCTTGCAGTCCATGGGACTCTCAAGAGTCTCCTCCAGCACCATAATTCAGGACAGTAGTAGTAGTATATTTATATCCCATTCTTCCCAGGTACTGGGAGGAGGTGGGCAGGGAATGAGGTTGAGGAACTAGGAGGAAAGAGCTGTGTGATGAACCATATGGGCTGTTCTGCACCCACTAAACTTTCCTGCTGCCTTCAGGTGTGGTGGGTGCTATTCTGTCACTGGTGTTAAAGTAACATTCGCCTGCCTGTCCAGTTGGCTTCCGGGTGCAGAATGAAGCAGACAGCATCTTGTCCTTTGTGCCAGGTGGAAAAATGTTTTGGGGCGGCCCTAATAATCACATTAAGGGAATGGAAATATAAAATGTGGGGCTTTTCACTCATGATCGCATTAGTACCCTACACAAGAATAAATGAAAGAAGACAAAGTTGGAATAAATCTACAGCAAAATGGTCTCCATTTCTTTTTGCAAAAATAATGCTCTAAATCCAAATACGGAAGCACACTTTTCAGCGATTTAGAGTAATTTAAGATCTCTAATAATATACACAATGTGCCTTAAATATTTTAAAGTATACTATAACCATGCAATGAATTGGTAACAGTGCAATTATGCAGCTGTGCTATTTATATAAGCATGTAGTTAACATGTTTTGTTTTCTTTCTTGTTTGTTAAGGTTATTGTGTTAAGATTATTTTGGAAGTAAAAATAAAAAAACACCAGACTTTTTACCAGATGTGTTCTATGGGACATGCTGTTATTTGTGAAACTTAATAATATGAAGACAATAAAATGTGATTTTTAATTATTGTATATTAATGTTTACAAATGAGACGCGGGTGGCGCTGTGGGTAAAACCTCAGCGCCTAGGGCTTGCCAATCGCATGGTTGACGGTTCGAATCCCCGCGGCGGGGTGAGCTCCCGTCATTCAGTCCAAGCTCCTGCCCACCTAGCAGTTCGAAAGCAGCCTTAAGTGCAAGTAGATAAATAGGTACCGCTTTATAGCGGGAAGGTAAACGGCGTTCCGTGTGCTGCGCTGGCTCGCCAGTTGCAGCTTCATCACGCTGGCCACGTGACCCGGAAGTGTCTGCGGACAGCACTGGCTCCCGGCCCCTAGAGTGAGATGAGCACACAACCCTAGAGTCTGTCAAGACTGGCCCATATGGGCAGGGGTACCTTTACCTTTAATGTTTACAAATAGCTAATAAACTGTCAAAAAGGAGTCAAAATCTCAGGAACATTCATAGCCTGTGCTTGTTCTGATTTGCTGATTAATTGGGAACTGCACTGGTACATATTCTTCATTTCTTCAAGCTATTTGAATTGCATTGGCTTTAATTCTTACCAGTAAAAATTAGGTGCAAAAAAGAAATAAATTCTTATATTTCTATCCTTCAGAGCTACCTATTCCATAATTCATTCTCCTTGTAGTACATTATGCCCGATATGTGCTTTTAGTATGAGCAAAGAAGTTATTGTGATGGGACAGCTGAAATTTGAGAAGATTCTGATGTATAGTGTGAATTTATTAATGCTTAGCAGAGCATTCTCAAATGTAAATGTGGTTATAGCAGTACTAGAAGAAATTCTTTATACATATAATGTTTACATGACTACTGACGGGTATCTCCTGCTATTTTAAATACAACTAGTAGTTCCCCAGCTTCATGAAGAATGTTTTGAATTCAGGGAAACTGCTCCTGACTTTTGAAAGATACAGATCGTCTTGCAGATTAATACTTAGTGGTACAGTGGGACCTCGGGTTAAGTACTTAATTCGTTCTGGAGGTCCGTTCTTAACCTGAAACTGTTCTTAACCTGAAGCACCACTTTAGCTAATGGGGACTCCCACTGCTGCCGTGCTGCCGGAGCACGATTTCTGTTCTCATCCTGAAGCAAAGTTCTTAACCTTAAGCACTATTTCTGGGTTAGCAGAGTCTGTAACCTGAAGCGTATGTAACCTGAATCGTATGTAACTCGAGGTACCACTGTATTGACACCAAGCTCCTTTGTTTGCCGGGGGGAAAAATCTGTTAAACAACACCTCAGATTTGGAGGGTGTGCCCCCATCTTCTGGAAAAAATGTTTTTCTTTCTTTCTACATTTGGAGTTACAGGAACTGAAACATTTACTTTGATGCAAAAATTTAATGAACTCTGTTAATTACAGTATTTCCTTAGATTTTGAATTCTGTTCTTATTTTTAGAAAAATTGTGCTGTATCCACTGAATCTGAATTCCAGTACAACTTGCATTTAAGACTGGGTAGGGTGACAGCTCTCCAGATGTTTTTGGACTACAACTCCCATCACCTCTGACCATTGACCATGCTGGCTGGGACTGAAGGGAGCAGAAGCCCAGTAATATCTGGAGCAGGGTTTCCCAAACTTGCGTCTGCAGCTGTTTTGGGATTACAATTCCCATCATCCAAGACCACTGGTCCTGCCAGCTAGGGATGATGGGAGTTGTAGTTCAGAAACAGCTGAAGACCCAAGTTTCGGAGACTCTAGTCTGGAGGACACCAGGGATTGCTGAGCTAGATCCTTATATAGACCAAATCTGCCATGTAAACTTTTCAAGTCTTTTTCAAGGGGACAATGAGACTGTATTTCCCATCATGCGTTTAAAAAAGTGATCACGTGTGGTGTACCACTTGTGGAATGTTCATCATTCCTCTCCCTATACATCGGGATTCTTTCATTATTGTTGTCTAAGTTGATCTTCTACTTGTGGACACATAATGTACAAACTCCTGCATACAAAAGTTATTGAAGCCAATGCATGTGACATATTTAGTAGATGCAGTAGTTCAGAAAACAAATGCATTACCTAAAAAAGGCATTAGTTGGTATACTTTGAAAGATTGGGGATCTGGAGGAAAGAGTTCTTTCAATATTACTTTATATTGTACTTAACCAATTTCCCTTCCACAGTGTTTTCTTCTCTAAGTCTTGGCCTTCTTCCTGAACGTTCAGCTACTCTAATGGTATATGAAGATGTTGTACAGATAGTCTCAGGATTTCAAGGTATGTGGTGCAAAGGGGCTTTCTTTGCTTTGTCATAATGATTTTTACCTGTCGCACAGCTAGAGCTAGGACTTTAGCCTTTTCCCACCTTGACATCCTGATGGTGGCAGGAAGGTGTGTTAGCTGAGCTGAATTAGGTGATCTAGAGAGCCAGTAGAAGCCTCTACTGCCCTTACCTAATAATTTCTTATGCCTGGCTCCTAGGATGCAACTCGCGTGAACAACTCATCCCTTTAAAAACAGATATTTGCTCTTTATAAAGCAAGTTTTAAGTTGTGCATCTCCCAAGATGGAATTGAACACCCTGAGGTTTTCATAGTAGGTGACAAATAATACAGATAAATTGCAGGAGATTGGGTTGCTTGATTAATGACATATGCATAATCTGCATATGAATAAAGCAAACTCTCTGAGAAAGAAAGCCGACTTTATTAGTGGTTTTGGATTACGCATGCACATTTCACAGCTGTAAATTCTTTAAAGTTGACAGTTGCTGTCTGTAGCAATTGTAGTTTTGTGATGGTGCTGAAAATTCTGCCTTAAAAGATATCCCACAATTCCTTGAGGGAAAGGAACCATGGCAGTGGGACCGGTTTACGTCTGCACTGCTGTTATGGCCTGAAGCCACAGCCCAGCACCTTGTACATTCTGTATTGAAGGAGCCAAAACTGTGCTTCTGCTCCACAGCATGAATTGTCTAAGCTGCAGCTGAGGATTCTTGGAGAGGTTTCTTTTCTTTTGCAATGAGTCGTCTGAGATAATAACATTATTCTGCGTTACTCTGCTGCTTTTGTTTTTGTTGTGGATACTCATCCATATGCATATGCAAAGCAGCACAGGCAGAGATTTATGACTTAGCAGAGCTATCCCTGAGGTGGAACAAATATCACTATGTACTGTACAACATGGGGGAGCTATGCACGCTCCAGGTTTTCTCATAGTTAATTTCGCTAATATGCAAAAATAAAAAAGGCTACCTTCAATTTGCCTTCAACTGCTTTAAAAGGGGACCTCCTAATATTTGAGAAATGTATTGGGTTGCTAACTACCTTTGCCACCTCCTGACAAAAGGAACGGTGAGTGCCAGGGAGAGGCTCAGGCGCTTTGCAAGCCCCCAGGGGCTTCATTGAACTCAGAGGTGCCCTGATAGTGATCCCAGATTCAGCAGCTGTCGGTGGTTTGTTCCCGCATTGTGTTTCAGAAAGCTGCTATAATTGTCCCAATACATTGTTGTTGTTCTAAGTGAAAAGTGTTATTATTTATTTTACTTTATTATTACATTTATATCTCACCTTTCCTCCAAGGAAATGCTCGAAACGGCATACAAGGGTCTCCCCCCCCTCGCCATTTTACCCTCACAACATTTTGTCCTTACCTGGGAGTAAGCCCCACTGAACACAGTGAGGCTTTATTTTGAGTAGGCGTAAGTTTGTACTGCAAGCTCTGGTTCTGAGTACATAACTGGATATGAATTTATTTTTATTGGGGGCAGAAAGCACTTAGTCGCCTTAGTGGTCACTTGCGGCATTTGTATCTCTCCCCGTAACAAATTTTTCTGAGTGGCTTACAAATAAATAGGTAGGAAAAAGAATAGGTAAGAGAACAATTTGAATACAAATAAGACAAAGAATCAAAATCATCATAAATAACAATGAAAACAAAATTCACCAGGCATCCTAAGTTAAGTCAACAGATTTTAGAAGTGAAAGGCCCAGACTACAATGAATATTTGAAAGGCCTGAATGAACAGAAAGGTTTTCACTTGGAGCTGAAAAGACTGCTAAGTTTAAGGTCCCATGTGTCCTCTTTTTCCAGGACACATCCTCTTTTTCAGGGGTAAAATTTGAGACAAATTGCATTTATTTGCTTTGAATGGCTGTCATAGTGTCCTCTTTTTTGATCTTCAAAATATGGAAACACTAGATGACACCAGCTGTACCTCCCTGGGAAGGTTGTTCCATAATTGGGGTGCCACTACTGAAAAGGCTCTGTCCTTGGTGATTACCAGTCCCTGGTGATTACCTGCGGTTGGAGGATGGATGGCAACTAACAGATTGAGGTTGAATCCTGATAAGACAGAAGTACTGTTCTTGGGGGCCAGGAGGCGGGCAGGTGTGGAGGACTCCCTGGTCCTGAATTGGGTAACTGTGCCCCTGAAGGACCAAGTGCACAGCCTGGGAGTCATTTTGGACTTGCAGCTGTCCATGGAGGCACAGGTCAATTCTGTGTCCAGGGCAGCTGTTTACCAGCTCCATCTGGTATGCAGGCTGAGACCCTCCCTGCCCACGGACTGTCTCGCCAGAGTGGTGCATGCTTTGGCTGTCTCTCACTTGGACTACTGCAATGCGCTCTATATGGGGCTACCTTTGAAGGAAACTACAACTAATCCAGAATGCGGCAGCTAGACTGGTGACTGGGAGCAGCCGCCGAGACCACATAACACCAGTCTTGAAAGACCTACATTGGCTCCCAGTACATTTCCGAGCACAATTCAAAGTGTTGGTGCTGACCTTTAAAGCCCTAAACGGCCTCGGTCCAGTATACCTGAAGGAGCATCTCCACCCCCATCGTTCTGCCCGGACACTGAGGTCCAGCGCTGAGGGCCTTCTGGCGATTCGCTCACTGCGAGAAGCCAAGTTACAGGGAACCAGGCAGAGGGCCTTCTCGGTAGTGGCACCCACACTGTGGAACACCCTCCCACCAGATGTCAAAGAGAACAACAACTACCAGACTTTTAGAAGACATCTGAAGGCAGCCCTGTTTAGGGAAGCTTTTAATGTTTGACGGACTACTGTATTTTAATATTTTGTTGGAAGCTGCCCAGAGTGGCTGGGGAAACCCAGCCAGATGGGTGGGGTATAAATATTATTATTATTATTATTATTATTATTATTATTATTATTATTTCATTCGGGGGAAGCACGAATCTAGTGTAAATGACAGAAAGCTGTTGGAAGTAAAGCTCATCTTTTGAGTAGGCATTAAAATTATGATTCCTTAACTTATTTTTACACAGATTTAAAGCTATATGTATTGAATGAGGACCCCAAAGCAATATAGCTGGTCACCCTAGAACCACATACCATACCTTGTAATAAGGAGTTAATCCTTGATTGGCAGGGTTTTTTTGTTTTCTTTAAGTACACTCCGTGTATTGAAAAAGAAGCTCTTGGGAATACAGTAACAGCTGTTTTAAATCTTCATTTGCATGTTATGCAAAAGCTTGCAGATGGGGCCTGGCTGTGTTTGCTGCAAAGCTTTGTTAATGGTACAAATTTGTGGAGAAGTGCTTTTGGCCTCAGAAGCAGATACCTAATGGGACCTGAAATGATAAATACTACATGAAGCTGTCTCTAATCCTTCCAAGACTCCAAACCCTCCAATCCCATTAAGTGGCTTTGAACAAAAGTTCATTGTTGGTTGAGAGTTCAAGGAAAGCATAAATCATTAGAAGACGGCTTCCCCTACAGGGGATTTCCACAGGGGTGGAGGCTTGGTATACGACGGGCAGATTGTTTGAACTCCTCAACAGAATCAAGCCAAGTTGCTCTAGACCTGGAGGTTTGAGGTGATAGCTCTTTTCTTGACACCTGAGCCAGCAAAGACTCCTGCACTCCTGGCTTTCTGGAACTACTGCCCTGCTTCAGTGATTATAAAGTAGCAGGAATTTAATGAATGAGAGCCATTCAGAAACCTGGGGAGGACCATAATGGTTTCTCTGGACATGATTCCACCCCGGAACTGCCTTCAAGCTGAGAGATGCTGCAGGCCAGTGGTGCAATGGCTTCCCTGTGTTCACATTCCCTCAAGAGGCATCCTCCTGGGGCCTCGATGCCAGTGGTGGCTGGGGTCATAGGCAACATTGGGTGGACCACAGGCTGTACTTAAGCCATTCAAAAGTCAGAGATTTCTGCATACACACATGCATGCAGCCCTCACGTAACTTCCTCCTGCATTATTGAAGTTTAGTGACATGTTCTAGCTGAACAAAAGCATGGAGCAGGGCCTGCATGTGGCCTTTGGAGGGAGTGTAAGGCACAGAGCCAGAGAGAAAGCAAGTGAACGCCTGGAGAACAAATGAGCCACTGAGCCTCTTGGGCTTGCTGATCAGAAGGTCAGCAGTTCGAATCCCTGCAACGGGGTGAGCTCCCATTACTCTGTCCCAGCTCCTGCCAACCTAGCCATTCAAAAAAACACAAGTGCAAGTAGATAAATAGGTACCACTGTGGCAGGAAGGGAAACGGCATTTCCATGTGCTCTGACTTCTGTCACAGTGTTGCGTTGCGCCAGAAGCAGTTTAGTCCTGTTGGCCACATGATCCGGAAAGCTGTCTGTGGACAAATGCTGGCTCCCTCAGCCTGAAAGCAAGATGAGTGCCACAACCCCACAGTTGCCTTTGACTCGACTTAACCGTCCAGGGGTCCTTTACCTTTTTTACCTTATACCACTTTAGTAGTCATGGCTTCCCCCCCCCCCACCAAAGAATTCTGGGACCTGAAGTTTGTCAAGGGTGCTCATCACATATCTACAATTCCTGTAAAGGTTTAACAGTCCTCCTTTCCAGGAAACACTGGGAATGGCAGTTCTGTGTTTTAAATGTACTCTGCAGGTGTACATTGAATTGAATTGCCCTGTCACATTACTTCTGTGTGCCTGATCGTTTGGTCACGTTCAGGATTTACATGGACTAACACAAGTAGCCATTTCCTGCTGCAGATAACTTTAGACAGCAATCTTGGGCACATTTAACAGTGAATGCAATGGAACTTGCATCTGAGAAGGTATACATAGGACTGCACCGTTAAAGGTACATTTTGACTTTGAAGAGGGAAGGTGGCTTCCTTTTAGATGAAATAGCCAAACATCCTAGCTGAATTAACCATTGGGATCTTGTATCACTTATTGCTTGCTTAATTGTCGAATGGTAATTGCTGCTGGCGTTGTTTGCTTTCACTGGAATCCATTAAATTAAGCAAACCATGAATGCTGGCTATCTCCCATAGGTATCATAAATGTAATCCTGTGGGGAATATGGGGGATATCATGGCTTTGCTACTAAAGTTATAATTGCATTTATAGAAAACTTGCTTCATGTAGATGGCTATTGTCACATTCATTTGCTTAGCTGCTCTCTTCCTTTGCTTATTGCTAGGTGCACGGATCCAGCCCAAAGTTCATTTTCAAAGGAGAGCCTTGAAACTGCCAGAGAATACCAGCTTTAGCGACCTCACAGCATTTCTTACTTCAGCTAGTTCACCTTGGGAAGTGGATAGTTTTCCTTATTTACAAGGATATGATGGCAATGGAACTGGTAAACTTTTGTTCTTGTGATTATTAAAGTATGTTTTAAGTTCTATCGGACTAGTTTAGTTCGAGTATTACCAGAATAGTACCATTTCTGTGTAGTCACTAGTACCGTTATTTACTGCCTGTATTAACTCTTTTCCTGAATTATTATTTTTTTAAAAAAGGATGCCCCAACCCCCAAAATCATTTGTAGCAGTCCTATGAGGCTAGTGACCCACCAAACTGAACTCAGCCCTCTGCTGTTCTGCTTCATGGGTCACAGACTGTGCAGGCCTGATTTACGGCCTTTTAAAGTGCAAAGGATAAAAACAAAACCCTACATTTAATTTATACTTGGTCAGAATGACCTGTTCCCCTTCCCTTCCTCAAGGCTGCCTGCATCTAGTTCTCTCCATCAATGTTGAAATGATAGGGTACCTAGCAGGCACTCCTGCCATTGCAGGAACAAGGAGTCTTGTCCTAAGAGACCTTGAGGCTCACAGGGGAAGCTGGACAGTGTCCCACCAAGAAGCCAAGTCAGGAATGCAAGGCACCCAAAGTATCTACAGGACCTTGGAGAGCTCCCAGGGTCCTGCTGAGCTAGCATTGCAAGCTGATGTCTCAGCAAGCATCTAGCGCAGCCTTTCTCAACCTGTGGGTCCCCAGATGTTGTTGAACTACAACTCCCATCACCCCTAGCTAGCAAGGCCAGAGCTCAGGGATGATGGGAGTTGTAGTCCAACAACATATGGGGAGAACCGCTGATCTAGCGACAACCAATTTCTTATAAGTATTCGGGACCTGTCATGCGGTACACCCCACCATCCCAGATGAACTGACTGGCTTTTAAGGGGCTGTCACCATATCCTGCAGCACTTGGATCCTGATAGGCTGGGGAGACGGGTGCCATGTCTCAGTCAGGGGGGTCTGGAAGACAGTCCTAACTGTTCTTTCCCCAAGACCAGAGCTGAAGCTTCATCATCCTCTGAACCCCCTGTGTTGCACAGTGCATGGTCTCTGGGTCGTGGATCACGGCAGGGTGAAGGGATGCAGCGGAATGGGGAAACTGACAGGCCATTCATATGTGCATGAAAGTACTTTCAATTCACACCTTGGATTTATTTGCTAAATGTCCACATGCAGAGAAAGCATCGCCGCCACAGGATGACAGGAACAACAATTGCTTGTCATTGTCATCCTTCGCTTGCCACTTTCTTTGTCACCAGCAAGCTGTCGGTGTATGGGATGGACATAGCAAGACAATGTAATCAGTGGTGCTTTCATCTGAGAGGCATGTGGCCAAACTCTTAAGCAATTTGAAACAAGGAAGTTAAAACCTCTGTAGGATTGTAATGTTGAATTGGAATGAGCTGAAGGCCAAACTGTACATTAGTTAATGATGTGATTAGCAATCACGTTGTAGCTTTCTAAAATAAAAGTAAAAATTGGGTATTGTGGGGATGGTAGTCTTCAGCCATATGGATAGGGATGTTTAAGCCTTCCATCTCCAGCTGCAATCATGAAGCCAATTTGAGGGTTTTTCCTCTAATGTCACATGGGAAGAGGGGGATTTTTACCAAGAACTAGCCCTTTTTATTTTTAAAAAAACCACATTGTGATTGTTAATCACACCATTAACGCAATGTTCATTTTGGCTTTGCCACTGCCTGTAACTTGCCTCATATGCTTTAAATTTTGCAAAGTGGTGTCCTGGTCATACCACCCTTAGGTAACGGGAAGCTGATTCGTTAATAAAAAATAGTGGGTGTTCACGTGATCACACTATGTAATAATTGGCTTTGAAAGTTATATTTTATGCATTTTCATACTGTTGTTCATTTGCTTACAGGAAATAACACTAGGTATGATCTTACTCCTGTCACTGCAGTTAGTGTTCACTTACTCAGAAGCGATGGGACTCCAGTTCCAGTGAATGGACCCATCTATGTAACAGTGCCTCTCCCTACAACCAACAGCTTGAAGCATAGCACCCATGTGCCCGCTTGGAGGTTTGACCAAAAATTTGGTAAGGAGCCTTTTGTCACTAATCCTCAATTTTCAAACACTTCATTAGATAATTCACAACCTCAGATTGGAACACAGCTGAAGAGTAATGAGAGGCAATTATTCATGATGGTTCAAGAATGATTTGTTGTTGCTTGATTATGAGAATTCTCCTTTGCGGTTCTTATTTTACAGTTTGGGGTAGAATTTTTAAGGGAGCCTCCTGGATAAGTGAGATTTGTCATTTTGTGTTTCACAAAGCCAAGCGTGACACTGCCTTTATTGTTGTTTGCCAGTTGGATTTTGGCTGTCTTTTAGTTTAATTCCAGTATGTAGAATCCATTAATTCAAGAGCCCATTTACTTCAGTTTTCATTTACGATTCAAGATTGTCATTTTTACTTCTGTGAAGGGAGACAGAAAATTGACTCATACTTGCCTGGTTTATTTCCTGCAAGTAGCAGTCCACCTTTTCCTGTATCCTGTTTAAAAGGTTGGCACATACGTTTGCAAATGATTGCGAGGAAAGAGGCTTTCTGAATTAGATCATTAAGTCACAGTGGCCAGGCACTTAAATCTCTCGCTCCTCTGGTTATCTGCTTTATATATTGCTCCCTGCTGAGTATTTTTTAAAAAAATGCTACATGTGCAGCTGTAAATAGTATGCAGTTGGTAAGCTGAATGAAGGGAATTTCCTCATCTGGTATTTAAACATCTGTTTCAGCAAATACGGATAGAACAGTCCTTGGCAAATTTAGCCATATTCACATTAATTTAGGGCAGTGGTGGCTAACCTTAGTACCAGTAATACTGGACTTCAGTACCCATCATCCCTGACCATTGACCATACTGGCAGAGGCTCATGGGAGTAGAAGTCCAATACCTAGAGAGTCACCATCCCTGGTTTGGGGCCTTTGTTTCCAAAGGCATGGGGACACTTTGTGTTTTATCGTGATAAATTTATTAAATATGACAACAGTTATGAGTAATATTATTAATAACAGCAGTAATAATAATGAGCGGCATCTTTCCTATGAATACAATTATTTTATTTCAAGAATTAGGACATAAAATTCGATATTTGTAATTTTTAAAAAAAATTATAAAGCTGATTTTTCAGTTTGCAAACAAAACAGTACATATACACAGAAGTAAACAAAGTACCATATCAGATATACTGTTAAGTTACCAGTGTTGATAAACAGGGGGAGGGATTTCCTAATATAATATCCTGCTTAGCATTCCAAAATCATCTTCAAATTTCTTAACACCTGAAATCTTCCTTGTCCAACACTCATGGACTGCATAACCGTATTTAACTTCACAAGATTGCAGAGTTTTATGTACCATTCTGTTAAATATGCCAGCTCACATCTCCACCCCAATTTTTTGCCAAGCTTGTCCCCAAGTACTTTCTTCCCCTGTGCTTTATCAACTTATCAGCAATGACTGAAAATACCCATTCGGCCAAGCCTTGACTTTACCTGCCTGACATGTGACATCTTATATGTCATATGTGACATCAGGATTAGGGCAGGTGGGTGTAACTTGGCAAAAATGGCCTCCCAGACTTTGTGGGTATAATTGAGACCATGGGCCAGAGGTTCCTCACGTCTAAAGAGGAAGGACCACTTAAGTCCAGAGTCTGAAAGCAGCTGACTTCATCATTGACATGCATTGGCACATATCACTAGGGCTGCTGTGCTCAGAAAGTGTCATATGTTGTAACCCAATGTAGGAAGATCCACTGAAGTCAATAGCTCTTTCTTCCACATAAATGTCCTTAGAACTGTTATATTAAAGCAAAAAATAATAATAAATCACGCTGACCGTTTACTTTGCAATTATCCATTTATATGCCATATTACTCCAAGCAAGAATGAAGCATTGCAAACAAAACTTAACTGCCTTGGATGCAAAGCATACTAAATTAAAGGAGTGGCACCTTTTGAATAATTGATAAAATTAAACAGCCTAATTGTGCCCTGGAGACATTTCTAAGTTTATTCCGCGAGCTGGAGATACACTCCATGTCTTAATCTGCAGCAGTTGCCTCTACTGGAGATGGCAGGCAGAGAGATGCATTAGTGGGATGTACTGTCACGCCTTTGAAGGAAGCCCTCGATTTTCAGGGTCTAAAGTAAGCATACATCCATTAGCCTGTGATGTTAATGTACAGGTGGAGATAGAAAGGTAGCCCGCCAGATTTCCCACGACTCGATGAAATTCACCGACTTATAGTGCAATGTGAATTATTTCTGATGTTTGTTAGAAGTCCATCAGTGGCCTTTTGACTTGTTCCCTTTCCTCTTCCTGCTCAAGCAGCTTTGCCAGAGTTTGCTGTGCCTCGTATGCAAACAGGCCAAGGACAATGGGTTGCTCCTGGGTTGCTCCTTGTGCCTCACCCTGAATACATTTTATGCCAACATCATTAGGAGCCCCTCCAGACTGCTGTCGCTTTTGGCAGGTGTGTTCTGCAACACGACAATAGAGCTTTAGTGGTTTATTTTATACTGGGCCGTCCACACATCATTCTGCTTTATTAGATGCTCTGCGACACTTCCCCAGTGTTGTTGCATTGCCGTTGTCTAGAGGGGTGCTCTCGCACTACAGCACAACTAAAGTGGAGCAACCCACCCACTTCCCCAGAACATTTGCAATATTAAAAAGTTACAAGATTTCAGCAGGGCATTTTGAGACATGCATCGCTTGAGAATGAAGCAGTGCGTCTGCTCCAAAACTTTTGCAGGCACTTAACAGTATCAGAAGTAGCATTTGTTGGCTTCATCTGCATGATAGGAAAGGGAATTTGCATGCTTTGCTCTTGTGTGCTCTTTCCTTTTCAGTTTCCGCGAGAAGCAGCTTCTTGTGTACCATTCTTGGCTCACATCCTCCTTTTCCTGAACACTTAGCCGACATCCTGGACCATAACCGTGTTTTTAGCTTTATTTCATGCAAAATAGACCACTGTGACCCCCTCTGAGTAAATCTAAACCGAGCGCCAGTTAATCCAATAGTAATTGTGATGGATCGTTTGCATGCCAAGGTGCTGCCCACCGGCTTAGTGTACTGAAGGTGCTTACCTGCACCGCTTTGGGATAAAGAGTTTGGAGGTGATCCTCAGAAAATGCCTGACATATTTTGAGTCAATGCGCACAGTTGGCCCTTCAGGACTGACTGTACAATACCTACAAACGTCAGGCATTGCTTTCCCCAGAGATTTTCCCCAGGAAAGATTGGAGATGAGCCTCATGTTTTCATGCTTCCTCTTCCTGTGGTGAGGAGAGTGGAGAAGGGAAGTCCTACAGCCCACTGGATTTAAAAGAGGAGTAAACTGAATGAATAAATATAAACTGAATGAATAAATGCCGAACAAATACATTTTATATTGTTGGATCCAAAATTTGGCAAAGGTAGCATGTGGTGTACATGTTGTTGTTGTTGTTGTTTAGTTGCTTTTCTCACAGAGTGACCCAAAGCAACTTAAGTTAAAATCAGTTAAGAACAACAATAAAAGCACAGCTACAAGACAGGACAACAACTCCAGCCTCGGTAAAAGAGGCCACAGCAGTACCCTTCAAATGAAGGGCCGGGATCAGATAGTTTTCTTTTCTTTTTCAAAGTGTTACTGTTTGCGATAGGCACAACTCATCCTGCTTTTGCCTTTGGTAAACAGGCTTTGGAAGATTCTGTACTGGTTGGGAAAAAACTGCAAAGCTTGTTTGATCAGCTTTGGGGACAAAAGGAATATTTGGGGAGGTAGTAGAAAAGCCCTGCCTCTCCCAAAATGCTTTTCATTTGTTTCCATTTGTCTCCAGCCTCAAAATCCTCAGATGTGTACATCTACCCAGTGGTGAATGTGTTCAAGTTTAAGGTACACAAATGTATACAGAAGCGTGCAAATGAACAGCAGAACTGTGGTAAAAGACCACAGCGGCATACAAAACACATCTTAAGAAATTATCTTTCATCCATACAAGTCGTACCTCGCAAGTCAAACAGAATTCATTTCGGAAGTCCATTCAACTTCCAAAACATTCAGAAACCAAAGTGTGGCTTCTGATTGGCTGCAGGAGCTTCCTGCAGCCAATTGGAAGCTGCAGAAGGCCTGTCGGACGTTCGGCTTCCAAAAATAGTTCACAAACCGGAACAATCACTTCCGGGTGTGTGGCGTTTGGGAGCCAAAACATTCAAGAACTAAGCTGTTTGAAAACCAACGTATGACTGTAGTCACTGTAGCCAAGCCGTTTATTGTTGTGCCTACCGAAACAACATTGTTAACAACATCAGATTGCTTGTTATATAATTATTGTTTTCAAGCTACAGAGGGGAAGCTGAGCCACTGCAAAGTTCACAGCTCATGCTGTTTTTTATCTGGCAGTTGCTGATAACTTGCTTTGGACATCCTTTTCTGCCTTAAGAGAATATCATTGTTAAGTGCTTCTTTCTGAAATTAAAAGAGAGACTATCCTACCCAAGGATTACATGATTTAACCATTTCTAAAGAGTGAGGTATTCCCTGGTTGCTATAGAAATGAAACTCCCCCCCCCAATAGTTTTAAATCAGTTGCAGCAACTACATAATGCAATGGAGGCAAATATAATTGCATGGCAGCAGACATGCTGTGGTGTAGAGAGGAAAAGATCTGCTGCTGTGTTGAATGCTTTGCATTCTGTTTTGGTTTTACTGGAAAGGAGCAATTAAAAGCTAAGGGTGCAGACATGTTGATTTGATTTTCTGAAGTGCAGGTGTAAAAGCCAAAGTTGCATACAGCACTTGCAGCTCAACCTCCTCCTATAGACACAGCAGTCCAATTTGCACATCACAGTAAACCATAGTTAATGGTTTGCCATCAATGTACCTAAGAGGGTTATTTTGCTCCTTTCCACATGCTGAGAAGAAACAAACTACAGTCCCTGGCTTAGCGTTATGTCTGAACTAGGGGTCTTAGTTTGTTCTGCTTCAAGTAAACTATGATCTGTAGCTGATGTTTGCTCTTGATTTTTTATTGTGGTTTGTTGT